CCGGACTGGCTTTGAACCGCGATCCTTAAATCTCAGCCTCCTGAGTAGCTAGGATTACAGGTGTAAGCCACTTGTGCCAGCTAAATTCTGGTTTTTGAGTGGTTAATTGGAGGTAAGAGTCTCATGGGGACTTTTCTGCCTAGGCGGGCTTTGAACTGTGATCTTCAGATCTCAGTTTCTGGAGTAGTTAGGATTACAGGTGTAAGTCACTAGCGCCCAGCTACTTTTTGAATGGGGTACTACTTTTATCCCAGGCGGGCCTGGATTGTGATCCTCCAGTTTGTATTTCTCATGCAGCTGGGATGACAGGTACGCCACTGTGCCCAGCTGTTTATTGGTTGACACGGGGTCTCTTGAACTTTTTGCCAGGGCTGGCCTTGAGCTTCAACCTTCTTGATTTCAGTCTCTAAGTAGTTAGGATTACAGGAGAGAGTCAACATAGCCAGTGGTTTTATTTTTTAAGTAATTGAAAAAGATAAAAAGGATATTTTGTGACATAGGAAAATGATTCACAAAGGTGAAGAGGGGCAGATTTTTTTTTACCCTTCATCTTTTTTTGTTAAAAATAACTTACATGTTATATAAGAAGTTAAAAGCTGGTCTTCTAACCATGGGTCTTAGTACATCTTTACATTCTATAACTATCAGTTGATTTCTACCCTATGGCTTAGCCAGGCCTACAGATGGAAAGTTCCATCAGAGTTTGAGATAAAGCTGCAGTTTTTCTTAGTTTAGTTGATAACTTCCTGCCACAAGACATGTTTTCTTTTCCTACACTGTACACAGACCCTAGTGTATAGTTCTAAGATTGATCTGGATTCATGTTCCTTTGATATCTTTTGTTTCTAAAGGCTTTAATCTTTTGCAAACACTTCTATACTTGTTTGGTTTTTGTTTTATCTCTCATCACTAGTCTTAACCACTGTCCTTTATTAATCAACTCATTAATACTTTGCATCAAGTTGAATATATATACACATATGAATTATATTTCTCCATATTAGAATTTAAAATAAGGGCTAAAAAAAGAAATACAGGAGGTTGTACTATGGTTCAAGTGGTATAGCACTCGCCTTGAGCTGAAGAGCTGAGGGACAGTGCCCAGGCCCAGAGTACAAGCCCCATACTGACCAATAAAAAAGGAATTTAGATTTTTCAGGAATTATATTTATCTCCTAGTCTTGGTCTCAGGATTAAATAAAACAGAGTGAAAAATCTGCATTCCATATTGCATTGTACATATTTCACCATAGACATATTAGGACTGGAAAACTAGTGGAGATATAAAATTTCATTTATCACTGGATGCTAAGGGTTCATACCTGTAATCCTAGCTACTTAGAAGGCTGAAATCTGAGGATCATGGTTCGTAGCCAATGCCAGACAGGAAAATCCATGAGACTTTTATCTCCAGTTAACCACCAAAAAGCCAGAAGTGGAGCCATGGCTCAATTAGTGGAGCAAAATAGTTTAGATACAGTGCCCAGGCCCTGAATTCAAGCCCCAGGTCCAGAACACACAAAAAATTTCATTTATTTACATTGTTTGATTTCTAAGATTCCTTGGTAATTTATAGTATTTACATACGAAAACTGTCTTAATGATATTTGAACATTTGAATGTGTTGAGTGTGTGTGTGTGTGTGTGTGTGTGTGTGTGTGTATGCTGGTACTGGGGCTTGAACTCAAGGCCTTGGTGCCGTCACTTTTGTGTACAATTCCACATCTAGCTTTTTGGTGGTTAACTGGAGATAAGAGTCTCATGGACTCTTCCCAGGTCTGGCTTTGAACTTCAGATTTCAGCCTCCTGAGTAACTAGAATTACAGGTGAGAGCTACTGGTGCCTAGCTGACAATTGGATTTTTGGAACAACGTTTTCAGTTTTAATTTCCATGTTATTATTTTTTTTTTTTTTACAAAGTGTAAGGTTTATTCTCTTCAACAAGAAGCCAAGAAGTAACTACTAAAAAGTGTAAGGTTGTCAGATTGCCTTTGAGCATCGTATGTCAGTGGAACTGATGCTTGGTGTGTAATTCATTTGTAATAGTTTCCCTTTGGAGGTTGCATGATTTTAATAATGCTGACTCAGAGGTCTCCCGTCATTAATTCAGTCATGATTAACTACTGTTTGTGAAAAATTGGGTGATTTAAAAAATTCTGTCTAATTGAATACTTACAGCATATCCTAGGACAGGTTTGTTTGGTTAGGTGGCAAAGCAGAAGGATTTCCCTCTGCCATTTTAAATGTGAGTTTGGTAGCTCTTTACCTCTTTGTTGCTTTAATTGCTCTGCCAGGAATCATATGTGATCATTAAAATAGATTCTAAAAGAAAACAACACAGTAGTTCAAAATGTATATCCTCAGGAAACCTCCAATGACTAGCTACAATTTGCCTAGTACTTTGAGTTATTCAAGTCAAAGCTGAGAACACTGAACTCCATTTCCTTTTTTTCCTTTTTGTGGTACTGCTGTTTTAAGTCAGGGCCTGCTGCTTTGTGTTTTACCACTTGAGCCACACCACCAGCCTTTTTAAGGCTTATTTTTCAGGTAAGATATATGTGTGCTGTCTGGCAGGCCCCTGGATGGCATACAATCATTTTACCTATATTTGCTTCTGGAGGTGGGGATAAAGGTAGATTCACACTGTGAATCACCATGACTGATTCGTTTGTTGCTGACTTTTGCTTGGGCTGACCTCTAACTTAGATCTTCCCAGTCTTTGCTTCCTGAATAGTTAGAGAAACTATTTCTGAAGGTGAAATGATACCTGATGAAAATGGTACCTATTTCATAAAATTGTTAAAGTTGAGAAAAAGATAAGGAAAACTCATGGTGTGTTTTCTGATACATAGTGATGGCTCATCAAATCTGCAAATAAGCATTACCTGTCTGTCTTAAATGTTTTCCATGGGAACAGAAAGGTGGATTGGGAAGAGTATGGGCTTCTGAGTCAGCCAGTTGCCTATGAGGCATACTGAGAATTTCAATTAACGGTTTGAGCCACTGCTTCTTTATTTATGAAACGAATATATAGTAATAATATCCAGTTCACTGGATCGTTGTAAGCTAAGTGCCTATTATGGCCCTTTCCTACCAATTGATTATCAACAAGTTAACATTTATGAAGCCTACTCTGAGGACAAGGCAGAGCACAAAGTGTCACTGGAGGTTTCTAGAGAAAATAAGCACATGTTCTCCACCATAGCTAGGGAGATCCATCTAAATAAACAAAATCAAGCCAACCACACACAATGAATTGCAGATGATATATGCAAATTAAAGTAGCTGTCTCATCTGTACCCATTTATATTTTTCCTAGGGTGAATGTGGAGGGATTTTCAATGAGAACCCCGTTTCCTGGTATTTTTACAAGTCAGCAGATCTCCAAAGCCCAATTAAAATAGACTAATTAAAGATCTTAAAGACAACAACAGCAATACCCCAAACAGGTGCAGTCACAAACTGCTCAGTGACTTAGCAGCTAAAACCTCTTATCCCTAACCAAAGGCAGATACCTCCGACTACCTTGGAGAGGTAAAGCCAGAGAGTGTGAAACCCAGTGGTTTGAACAGAAGCAGCAGCAGAGGGGCCGGTTCTCAGCATCAGCAGCCTGCCCATCACTGCACCTGAGAACTTTCCTCAAATCTCCTGACCGACCCCGGGCGTGGCACCGGGCCACCAGGCCTGCAGAACTGCAGTATTCACACAGTTAAAACTCTTCCAAGGGGACCAAAGGAAGGGGAGGGGGGAAAAGAGGGGGAGAGGACAAGGGAGAGGAGAAAGGAAGAGGTAGGAGGGAAGAGAGAGAGCCCGCCCACGCAAAGGAAGTTAATACGGTGCCGACGCCCCGCCCCCAGGGCCCCGCCCCTCCGCCAATCCCCGCCCCTCCGCCAATCCCCGCCCCTCCGCCAATCCCCGCCCCTCCAAGGCCCCGCCCCCTCCCTGCCCCCTATCCTCTCGGGACGGACCGCGGGCGGCCCCTGCCCGCGTTCACCCCCCTTTCCCCCCAGCCCCGCGTTCCAGGCCTCAGCGCCGCCGCCGCCCTTGGCACGCGCCCGCCGCGGCTTGTCCGCACCACCCTGCTTCGGCTGGGGCTACAGCCTCCCGAGCCTCCGTTGCCGTCGCCGCCGCCGCGCTCCTCCCCGCTGCGGGCCGCGGACGCCACCGCCGCCGCGTAACCGCCGATCCAGCCGGGCGCGGAAGCTGAGGCGAGCTCGGGGCCGGCGCGAGCGCGCGCGCACGGGCCGCTGTCACCACAGCCGCGGTGGTTCGTGGCGCTCGGGTTCCAGCGAGGACGGTCTCCGCCTGCTCCTCCGCCCGCCTTCGTCCTCAGTCCCCGGCCTTCCTCAGCCCTCGGTCCTCCTCAGTCCTCCGTCCGCTTCAGTCCGCGGTCCTCCTCAGTCCTGCGTCCGCTTCAGTCTCGGTCCTCCTCAGCCCTCGGTCCTGAGTCCTCCTCCCTCCTCAGTCCTCTGCCCGCCTCAGTCCCCCGTCCTCCTCTCCCCTCCGTCCTCCTCCCTCCTCGGTCCTCCTCAGTCCTTCGCCTGCTTCAGTCTCCAGCCTTCCTCCGTCCTCGGTTCACCTCAGTCCTCGGTCCTCCCCGGTCGTCGGTCCTCTCAGTCCTCACCGCCCTCCTCTCCTCGCTCCTCAAAAGCACGCCACCCCCGCCCGGTCCCCACCCCCCGACGCCCCACCCGCGGGAACGAGGCCTGGGGAACTCAGGGGAGTGGCTGAGGGACGCGTCGCGGCTCGGCCAGCCCCTCTCCCAAGACATGGTCTGAACCCCATTGTAAGAGCTGCGCCCCCGAAGAGGAGGAAGAGGAGAGCGAGGTGTTTCCTGCGTGGGGTGGGGTGGGGGGGCTGCAGGGATTCTCGGAAGCTCGTGCATTATTTAGGGTGGGGCGGGGAGGGCCCTGGCTTTTGAGGAGTGGGGTGGGGGGTGGGCGGGGAGGACCCGTGGAGGGAAAAGACCCTGCTTTTGGTGGGGGAGTCGGTGAGAGACTATGGGGAAGGACCAGGAGCTGCTGGAAGCTGCTCGCACTGGAAATGTGGCTCTGGTGGAGAAACTCCTGTCTGGCAGGAAAGGAGGGATCCTGGGCGGTGGATCCGGCCCCCTGCCCCTGTCTAATCTGCTAAGGTAAGGACGGGCACTGGCATCCCCTCCGGGGGTGGCACACCTCGTTGTGCATTGTGATGGATACGTCCTCCTCCTTCCCCTCACCTGGTGGCAGCCAGCGATTCATTCTTAAATTAGGAAAACAGACTGTGTAGGGAGAGGAGGAACGAGCCTCCAGATTAGACGAATGCCTTCGATTTTTTTTAAATCTTTTTTTTTTTTTTTTTAGTAATGTTAAAATAGCCTTCTATCAATGCATCAGTCAGCTACTTTTCTCTGAGCTGTGGTGCAGAACTTGGACATGTACTAGTGTTGCTTGAAGAGAACCAGCATTCCACCTGCTCTCCATCACTGTTGATATATTTGCAGTTTCCAGGACTGCCTCCCCCACTTTCCCCTTTTTTGGTCTATTTAAATGAAATTGATAGAGGAGCTGTTGCGTGCATGCAATTATCCTGCTGAAAGCCACAGCCTTGTATTCTCTTGCAGAAGGCATTTGCTGGGTTGTGGGGTTATGATCCTACAAAATGAAGAAAGAGAACCTTCTGAGGAGGTGTCAGAGAGGAAGAGTGTGTAAAACTTGATGAGGCAGGTTAGACAGCCCCAGCAGTACTTTCAGTCACCTGGATGTAGCTGAGAGAAACTCAGGATGCAGGATGCCAGGTGGGGATTGGCATGGTGTGCATGGAATCTGGTAGAGGCCCTTTAATGTGAAACATGTTGCAGGTGAGACGGATGTTGCTTGGAGAATCTAAGGTGACATTTAAGAAAAATGTCAAGGTCTTTATTCAGCAGGTAGCACCTCAGAAATAGCAGGGTTGATTTGCATAGTGGAGAAACTATTAACCTACAAGTTGAATTGGACAAATGAAATCAGTTGGGAGGGAGGAAGCTTGAAGAGTACTCACTAGATAAAATCCAGGGAAAGCTCTTTAGGTTTTTTTTTTTTTGTAGCTATTAAATTCGTCAATATTTTAGTATTTTTGAAGGTATCAATATCTCCATATCTTCTTAAAACACATTTTAAGAAATCTAATTATTTAAAAGCCCGTGATTATCTTTAAGTAAAAATATTCGGTGTTACTCTTGTTAAGTGTTTAATATGAACTTTTGAGTGATACTGTGCTTTTCACACAAGGTCTCATAGCTTGTAGTGGTCCACCAGCCGTGTGAATACTTACAATACTTAAAAGGGAACTAAATCTAGTTGGAAAATAGTTGATGGGATTTAAGATAGCTCCATATTTGTTATCCATACTTGCTGACAGTGGCATTTTATTGAAATGACAATTCACTTTAGAATAATGGTTTTTTATGGGACATTTTCCCAACATATCTCAGAAGTGCTGGCATTTGTGTGTACTCTTGTTAAATAATTTTTATTTTTAAATACAATGAGGGCATACACATTTCAGACTATGGTTCTGCCGGTTACTCTTAGTCACAGGTCATTTGTAGAAAAGCAGTTTATCTAGTTGTAGTTTGGTGAAATGTATTTTCCAGCAGATCCATTAGTTATAAAAATGATTGTGGTTACATGCTGCAAATTTGTAAAAAATTGATTCCTTTGTAAAAACATTAAAGATTTCTTAGAGCCCAGTGAGAAATTCAGTTAATTTCATTGAGACAAATGGTATTCTTAAAAAGACTGATAGAACTCAAAGGCAAACTTCTTTTATATACTTCTTTTCCAGCTGTGATATATATGTATGTGTGTGTGTGTATATATATATGTGTGTGTGTGTGTATATATATGTATACACATATATATATATATTTAAAAAAGGGTAGCTGTTAAACCTTAGGAATAACACACAAGTTAAAGTTAATAAATATTAAAGTACCAAAATTGTGACCTACATTGTACATCTCAACATAAGAGTTTTTCTTTTTCTTTTTTTTGTGCTGGTTAAAAGCTGCTGTAGTAGCTCTAAAACAAGAATGCACATAGAAAACAAACCCAAAGACATATGACTTAGAATAGTTTGGACTAAGTTGTGAAAATCACAAAACCAGTAACCTTCAAACCTGTATTTATCTCTACTGAATAAACTACTAAAACTGTCTTTGAAGAAAACAAGAGTTGAAATTATGTTTTTTGGCCCTTTGCACAAAATGAAATTTCTAAGGGGGCACATTTTATTTCACTATCACTTTGTTTCATGAATGATTGTCATCAGAAGTTTACTTATGGGATAGGGAAAATGTGTCCTTTCCATCAAACATAATAACACTGAAATATTTTAGTATTTTGGAGTGAATTCTTGAATAGATCTGGCACTTTTCTCTACTTGTTTATTACTTATGTAGTGTAGTCCTAGTGTCAGTCTTCCTAAATACTTATGTGTCACATTTCATTCAGTAGTTAAATCAACCTTAAAAGGTCGATCCTCTTTTCACAGATGAAGGACTAAAGAAATGACTAAAGATTAACAGCATGTCCAAACTCATGCCAAGGATTTGAAATTCAATGATTCCAATTTACTTTACTAGATCTTTAAATTTTTTTACAAAGTACATAGTTAATTTAGGTAGTCCAACCTAAACATTTTTTTCTTGCAAATAATAATTACATTAAAAGACTCAAACTTTTCTTGAATAAAGTTATTTCTTGACTGCTCTTGGAGGGTTCACTAGATAAGAACTTGTCAGAAGATGCTTTTAATTGTTTATTGTCTACTGTGTGACCAATGGCTATATAATTGTGGAATTTAGTATGCCTAAGTGACAGTTTTTAATAAGAAATTAGAACACTTTAAATATAAAAAAACTTTACTGTCCTTTTTATAGAGTGGAAGTAATAATAGTACATACCAAATAGAGTTGTTATAAGTATTAAAGTTTAAAGTAAAAGATATAAAGCATGGAGCATATTCAACATCTCATGTAGCTCAAAAGCACATGAAACTATCTGACTATAATTTTTGATGATAATTCAACTTTGTTGTTGATTATCATATCATTGTCCAGTGTGTGTAGGTGGGAGTCAACCAGATCTGTTCAGATGCCTGTATGCAGGCATGCACCTGCACACATGAATATATGCAGGCATTCACACTTACGGATGGACCGGGAATGACATGTAGTCAGGTCACCCCTTTACCTGGAGTTAGAGGCTAGTACCAGAACCTCCTCTGCAGCCATTCCTGATTCCAAGTCTGCCTGTGACTCAGTGGCTCAGAATCTCTTGGTAGTCCTTTATAGCTGTTGGGTATTGGGCTCTGCTCCCAGACTATCTAACCCAATTGGTCCTGGTAGGGCCAGGGTGACACTTAAGGCTCTGATTACTAAAGATTTGCTTTATGTTAAATTGGGAGTGATTCCTTAGTAAGTTTTCCATTAAGAATCAGTCTTCAAATAGGGGCCTTTAATCCATTTTCTTACCTGGTACAAGAATTTTCTCAGCCCTTTCCAGTGAGTTTTTCCAAACTCTTATTAAGTCTTCCAGTGAGCCAAATCATTCCATTTTTGATAGTTCTGATTATTAAAAACATTGTCTTTATCAAGCTGAAATGCACCTTTTGGCGTTTCCAGCAGTTGGTACTAGATTGACTTTGGGTCAATACAAAGTCCTCTAATTTACCTGCCAGGACTATTCTTCAAGTGCAGGCATTCCAACTATTGAAATATGATGCAATAAAATTATTACCACCTTATTATTGATTTAGGATCTTGATACAGGTCAAGATTTTTGAGCCACAAAATAGTGTTGGTTGTCACTGAGCATGTAGTCAATAACAGCTTCCAGGCATTTCTTTTTTCTTTTTTCTTTTGGGAGGGGGTCCAGTCGTGGGGCCTGAACTCTGGGTCTGAGCGCTGTCCCTCATCTCTTCAGCTCAAGGCTAGCACTCTACCACTTGAGCCACAGCGCCACTTCCGGCTTTTTTCTTTTTGCTTATGTGGTGCTGAGGAATCGAACCCAGGACCTCAGGCATGCAAGGCAAGCGCTCTACCACTGAGCCACCTTCCCAGCCCCCAGGCATTTTTTTTCTTAATGACCTGTGAAGCTGTAATTCCCCCATCTGATACTTGTAAAAGTGTTAAACTTAAATAATTCCTATTATTTTATCTTATTTTGGTCTATATTTGTAATCTATGTAGATCTTCTCGACTCTTGAGTCTTTTTTTTTTTTTAGCATATTAACCTCTTTTCATCATCTGTAGATTTAATAAGCATGCTTTATAACTGAAATCTGATACACCATAATATATCCCTAAAGAACCTCTCTTCAGCTTAGTATAAATTTAAAAGTGGCAATCTTTATACTTGATATTTGTCTCTATTGAAGCCACTTAATAGACCTATCAGTCAATTGCTTTTGCATTATACCCATGAGAATTAGTGAGGTATTTTATTCATTGTCTTAAATCATGCCATATTCTGTTTACATTTCTTTGATCTAGCCTTTCACTTGTAAGTCTGTAAATTCTATCCAAATCAAGCTGCTTTTCTTGCAGCTTGTTTCTGAAACCTGAGCCGCTAGTAATTCTAAATTTTGATGGAAACCCTTTCAATATCCTTTTGCATCTAATTCTTCTGGGTTTGGATCTTTAACACTCATTTTAAACAGCTAAGTGTCTTTTATGATTGCTCTGTTTGGATCTTCAGTAATCTCCTTATTTGTTTATCCTTAGTTAGAAAATGATTCCTGATAGGGAAGACAGAAATAAAATAGAAATTCTGAAGGGTAAGATTCCTTGCATTATTGATATGGAAAGTACTTTTATGATCTGAAACCACAGTTTTGTACTGTCAAAGCTTAAGGTTACATTAGCAAACTATTCCATCTCTCTCTCTCCCTCTCTTTTTTACCTGAGAAGTATATTTTTCTTTTGTGTTTTTTTTTCACCACCTTACCATTCCTTTTCATCCTTAAAGAAATTTGAACTCTAGTTGGGTGTGCTCATGCCTGTAATCTTAGATACTCAAGACTCTGAGGTCTGAGGATTGAAATTCGAAGCCAGCCTGGGCAGGATACTCTTACTGCCAATACCACCAAAAAGCCAGAAGTGGAACTGTA